TATATTAATCTACGTCCTGCTGCATGATTCATTACCTTTTCTCGGTACCAGCACTGGTTTCTTCCCCTGTGTTTGGTTTCCAGCCTCATTCTTTCCCAGAGTTCCTATCTGGGAGCCCTGCCTATCTCTCCTGCCTTTCCTATTGGCCATTCAGCTCTTTCTTAAACCAATCAGAAGGTGAGGAAAGTGTATGTGTACAAAACATTGAGACAGGTGATGCTCAACACTCCCGAAATCCAATCTGTACCAAGCTCTCTGCCTGTACAGAGATCAGCATCTGAATAACACAAAGACAGTGTTTACACAGTGCACACGAAGATCACCCCAGCAAGCCTCTAGTTCCCCGGGTGCCTAACAGGCCAGTGAGAGACCTGCCTCAACAAAACGTAGGTGGCAGCTCTCCCGAAGAGCAACTCCCAAGGCTGTCCTCTGGCCTCTGAATATAGATGTACACATGAAGAGAGCGAAACACAGGCACACAAATCAGCATTCAAAGAGTTGACCTCTGAGAGGTTAAGAGGCCATCGTAAGGAGTTGTAGAGATGGCTCAGCTCTTGCTGCGTAATCGTGAAGGTCACAATTTGGATCCTGCACCCACATGACAGGCTGGGCGTCCCCAGCACACCTGTAACCCCAGACTCCTGGTGGGAGCAGAGACGGGAGCGCTAAGGCTTTCTTTCGACTTTTGACTTAGCAGAGAAAAACATAAGCCCCAGGTTCAGAGAGAGACCCTGCCCCAAAGAGACAGCAGAAAAAGTTAAGTCTCTTTTAAAAAGAATCTATCTTAGAAATATCTAAGGCGAGGCAGGCACAGAGACATACACCACTTGTCTTAGTACTCAGGAAGCAGAAACTGGCCGATCTCTTTAATTTGATGCCAGCCTACTGCTTAGCTAGTTCCAGGCCAACTAGGGCTACACAAAGAAGTCCCTTTTTCAGAACAAGAAAGAAAAAAAAAAAGTATCTGAGGTGTATATAACTAAGGGTGTTTGTATGCATGTATATGAAGGGTTCAAATGCACCTTGTCTAGGTTAAGCAAAAAGAGGAAGTTGGTTTGTATACTATCTGAGGCTTGTTGTAGAAACCAAGAGCAACAGAAATGCTGCTGGGTCACCTAAGGGCCTGGGGCCAGACTATGGAAAAAGAGTCTGCCTCAAAGCCCACTGGACACCTTCCTTCCTGCTCCAGTCCCCTCTTTCACGCCTGAACATGCATGTGCGTGCCTCATCTGGCTCTGCGTTATTCACAAGTTCAGTCAATCATCAGAGACTGTCTTCAGCCACTAGATGTGCCTCATCAGGGGAGTGGTGTGAGCCTGCACAGCACAGTTAGAAGAGGCCATACCATAAAAAACAAAAACCACAGACAAAGCCAGAAGTGGAAGTAAAAGAGCATGTGCCCCAGAGAAGCCATAAACATAAGTAAATTCAGCACAAGCACCCAAACTCAGAAGCTGAGAAATGATGGCTGGGTGCTGACATGTGTCTCTCTGGGATTTGGAAAGGATGGGATTGTATTGTATATCAAGTTCATTATTTTATATTTAGTATAATTAAGACCACGTATGTGTCATGCTTACTGCTTTTGTTCAATATTATACGTGGTACTTACTTAGGCTCACATCTCATTTTTGCTTAGCCACCATGTGCACGTTTTTTGACCAGTGTATCTAGATGCATCTGTGAAAACATTTTTTGTTGTTGTTTTTGTCTTTTTTTCTAGATAGGGTTTCTCTGTGTAGTCTTGGCTGTCCTGGACTCAAACTGGCCTCGAACTCACAGAGATCCACTTGCCTCTGTCTCCCTGAATACTGGGATTCCAGGCGTGAGCCACTGCATCGGCTTGTAAAAGTATTTTATAGGTAAAATTAACATCTTTATTCCCAGCAAACTTTCACTAAAGAACATTACATCATCATCATCATCATTATTTTTTTTTTTCTGGCAAGACTCACAATGTAGCCCACCTATCTCTGCTTTCTGAGAGCCAGAGTTAAAGGTGAGCACCGTGCCCAGCTTCAGCTTACATTAGTGTGTGTCTGTGGAAGTCAGGACAGCTTGGTGGGGGAGTCAGTCCTCGTCATCTGTCCAAGTACTGAGCTCAGATAGTCAGGCTTGCCCTAGAAGAGAGAATTTTGCCAACAGATTCCTTCAGATTCTTTCTTGGACCCCCAGCCTGTGGGTTTGGGACTTGTGAACCTCCACACTGGCACAAGCTAGCTCCTCAATGTAACGTTCTTCCTATATATAATGTACAGACGCGTTCTATGGTTATTTCTCTGGAGAACCTGGCTGCACCCTGTTAGAAAATTACAGCACTGTGTTAATTCCTACACCGTGCTGTAGAGTGAACCAGCCCTCACACGTGCTGAGCAAACGCTCTACCACTGAGATAGCTGTGCAGCCGACCCTTCCTCTTTTGTTTTGTTTTTAAATTTTAAGACAGGTTCTTGCTAATTTGCTTACTGTATAGACCAGGCTTACTTTGAGTATGCAATCCTCCTGCCCCAGCTTCCTGAGTGAAATGTCTTTATATTCCTGAAAGATGGGTTTTTACACTGTAGGCTTTTTACCGGCCGCCCCAGAGCCCCACAGCTGAAGAAACAGAATCGGCCTATCGTGTAGCCCTCTAAAGCCCCCCCTCACCTATCAGGTAGACCTGTCTTCTCTAGGTCAGCTTGGCGAGCTGAGGCTACATAAGCTGGTCTCCCGCCCCTGCAATGAGGCAGAGTCAGCCCAGAAGCCTGTCTCCAGAGAAAAGAAAATGCAGTGTTCGTGTGGAAAGAAGAGACAGCCCTGGACCACGCATCACACAGCTGGGGTCCCTTCTACATTTCTCTGAGACAGCCAGAGGCTTGAATACAGATCCTTTTTCTCTTCCGGGACAATTGAAGTTGCTTTTTGTGGTTCACATCTGAGACTTCCAGTAGATGCGTTCTGTAAATGGCGGGCAGTAGGTCTATGCACATGACCAGCGTGTGCCATGACGCTGTCCCTCCCGAGCCCCCCCCGACGGCACCGTGTGCTGTAGGAAGCTTCCTGTGACAATCTTGGTAATGTGAATCCTTACCCACATTTCTGTCTTACTTACTCCAGATCCCTAGAATTGCCGAATCACTGTATATGAACATGTATGTTGTGTTTTATCTTTCACATACTGACATGCCTTCCACCCAGACTACAGCTTTCATTTCGTGGGCAGGATGCAAGAACAAGATAAAATCAGCCCTCAGTGCGCCACCGCTGCCCTTTTGTGTGAGAAGCGTGTGTAGTTACTCAAATTCAAAACTGATGGGTTTTTTTTTTGTTTGTTTGTTTGTTTTGTTTTTTTCCTGCTGCCTGTCCTTGTCCCATATTGCAATTATTCTGAACAAATCAAATTGTGCTTAGAAGGATCGGAGTGTAGCTCATCGGTAGAGTGCTCCCTGGCCTTCAGCCATTGCTTTGGTCCCCAGTGTCTCAAAAAGTGGATTATTTTTAAAGACAGTTTTTGAAATTGCTTTAATTGCAAGTCATTTTATTGGCTCTTTTCCTCCCTCCCATGCCTGTGAGTGGAAGGCGCCACGGTGTGCCAGACAGTGGTGATCATGTGTGATAAGCAGCCGGGAAAGCGTATCAGGCTGAATAAAACCATTCTGTAGAATAACTGAAGGAAACGGTGACTTGGCTTTCCCTGTTATCAAGGCCAGGCCATGAAAAAGTCAACAGTGCCGGGAGATTAAAAGTACCTAAACTGGGCTGGCGCCTCACGCCTGGAAACCCAGTACTTGGGAGGCAAAGGCAGGGGAACCAAATTCAAGCTTATTGGTCTCTAAGTAGTGAGTTTAACACCAGCCTGGGCTGAATGAGGCCCTGACTCAGGAAGCCATAACTAACCAACCAAACAAGCAAACAAATGCCTTCTAGAAGGGGTAGGTATGGTAACACATCCCTGTGGGCCCAACATCCGGAGGCCGGGGCTTGTTTAGCATGGGAAAGGCCCTGGGTTTCCAACCCTAGCAACACAAAGGAAAAAAAAAATCACTTAAAGCATCATATAATTTGTTGGACATATACTTGTATGCGCTTGGAAGTAATGTAAAGCACTTACTGATTTGTGCTTTTGTCCTTTGCCCCCTTTTAAATAGAAGGACAGGATCTCACTACGCAGCCCAGTCTGGCTTCAGGCTGCAGTAGTTACCCTGCCTGAGCCTTTTGCTTGTTGGAGTTCAGACCTCTTTTCCTCTCTGCTTCTCCAACTGCTGTTCGCCTTCAGTTTCCTTTGGGAGCTTGAAGTCATGAGGCTCACACCACCCAAATCTGTTCTTCCCAACTTGACTCTGCCTGTCAGATAGCCCAGACTGGCCTTGAGCCCATAGTGATCCTCCCGCATCGTGCTTGCTTCCCACTAACACTTTCCTCGGTGTGATTGCAATTTTAAATGTAATGGAGAGCGCAGGAGTAGAAAACTACCTCTCCGATGGGGAAGAACACCACTCTGTAGATTGCAACTGGCAGCCACTCTGGACGGGAGAGAGTGAGAATACCACTCTTCCTCCCAGGGAGGTCAGGGTACTGATATAGACTGATACGGTCTAGAGCTCCTGCACCGTGGTTAAAGTGGGCATGCAGACTGTGTGTGTGTGTGTGTGTGTGTGTGTGTGTGTGTGTGTGTGTGTGGCCTTTCAGTGATCGTGCAGCACACCTTTAATCATGCACACTTAGGAGGCGGCAGATCTTTGTGAGTTTGAGGCCAGACTTGTCTATAGAGCGAGTTCCAGGACAGGCTATACAGAGAGACCCAATTTAGAGAAACAAACAACTAAGTGATCGATGCAGAAGCATTTTGTTAATGTCTGCTGTGTGCAGTGCGTGGTTGGGCACTGGGAAAATAACGGGGGGGGTAGAAAGCATGTAGAAGCATATAGTTCTGGATGGGGTTTTATAGCACGGTGACTTGTTTTCTAATTTGCTTGTTTGTAGCTATCTAACTTAATCTGTTCTCTCTCTCTCTCCTTCAGTATCCTCTTATATACGGGCTGATCCTCATTCCCTGCTGGAGTTCCCTAGTTTGCCTAAGTAGAGTCTACATGGGAATGCATTCCATCCTGGTAAGGAAAATGGTGTCCTTAATATATGAAGTGTTGGTTGGTTTTTTGTTTGTTTGTTTGTTTGTTTGTTTTGTTGTTGTTTTCAGACACTGGCAGAAGAGTTTAGAAAAGTAAGTCAAATGATTATATGATCTGTTGTCATACAAAGAAAAACAGGAACAAGACAAAAGTAGCTAGTAAGTTCACTTGCTTTTTGCTTTGATGCAGACTGTATCCTTTCCCCGCTGGCTGAGGCACAACCTTGGTCTTTCTGGGTGGGCTAGTCTTCAAAGAATGAGTTCAAAGCCAGGCAGGATGCAGGCAGGGTGTGGTGGCACCCCCTTTTAATCCCAGCACTGAGGGAGGCTGAGGCAGGCTGTGATGTCTCAGGCCAGCCTAGTCTACAAAGGCTACATAGAGAAACCCTTTCTTGAAGAACAAACAAACAAAGAGTTACTTCAAAGAAGATGAAGGCAGTGAGGGAAGGGATCATCCCCTCCAGGCCATCAGGTTCCAGGAATGGGGAAGGGCCTTTCGTAAATAAGAATTTTAGGTGTGAAGATTAAAAGATATACATGAAATTTTTACAAGGTGAGAGAGATTGATGGAATAGTGGCTCCTGATGAGCAATATCTCCCTTTGATAGGTAGAGAGGGAATAACATTTCTTCCAAGACCTGAATGAGAACATACAGACGTGTTTCTCCTTTCTGCAGAACTGGCGATGCCTTTGGCGTGTTAATGTCTCAACCTTGTATTCCACTCCCCCCTCCAGTGCTGACGGTGTTTCCAAAGCTTCAGGAATGTTAGGACCTTTGGGTAGATGCCTCTCCCTTCTCATGCCTGCCTCGCTATCTCTGCAGATACTCCTCCAAGCCTCTCTTACATTTTCCTTCTCTTTCTCTGATCAGGCGCCCCTACCCCCCCCTCCCACAGTGTTAGAACTTGGTTATTGTACTCTTATCTTTACACTCAAACGGTTATAAATCACTGTCTCAAAAACACGTTGTTTTTACTAATGTTACAATCTATACTATAGCTGTAGACTTTCAATAAACTAACTAATACAGGAAACTGTTATGTTCTGTAGTGGTACACCATAAGAAGGTCAAAAGGTTCCCAGACCTTTTATGGACTATGTTTACGATTTTTGAGATCCCAACTTAACAGGGATGAAACCAAAAGTCCTAGTCTTTAATGATTAAGAAATGCAAGTTAAAAGTCAGTCATATTAAAAATGATCAAATCCTTTAATGTGTCCACAAATATATTTGTAGTTATGATAAGAACTAATGTGACTAATTACAAGATTAAGGTTTATTTAACCTCTTAGACATGGTTTTAAAGTTAAACAGAGAGTAACTAGAAACAAGCAAAGTTTGCTTATTTAAATCTACTTTCCATAGACATATGGTCCCCAAACTCCCTTACAGGAGTTGGTGAAGAAGGTTTTTAAGGTCTTTAAAGCCCAAGAGGAGGTGGCCGAGACTTCCCAACAGGCTCGGTTACAGCAGAAAGCTACGCTTTAGTTCCAGGCCTTGGTGCTGTCCTGTGGCTATCAGCATTCCCACAGAGGGAACAAGGGAGGCCTGCTACGCCCATCCTGCTGGGGGCCAGCGTAAGTCAGCTCCACCAGAGACCTGTTTCCAATGCAGCCAGGAAAGACACTGGCCCTGCAGCTGCCCCAACCCTCAGCAGCTCACCAAGCCATGCCCTGCCCACCAGCATCCTGGCCACTAGAAGTAGGAATGCTCTCATGCAGGAGGGCGCCCAGCCACGGAGGCCCAGCCCAACCAGTGTAGGCACCACAGACACTTCCAGCCTTCACACTCCTTGGCCTGGTGGGGGACTGACAGCTCCCAGCCTCAGCAACCTCTGTCACCCTCACCAAGCCCAGGGTAACGCTACAGGTCTGTTTTAACCTCACACTTGGGTCCTATGGTCACGTTGCCAACTTCTGACATAGGAGTGAATGGAAAAGTCCTCCTTTCCTTCTAAGACCCTGCCTTCTATCTCAGGTCTCTGATGGGTGTAGAGGCTAGTTAGGGAAAGATGTATCATTTTAAGAGCTGAATCCAAGGCTTCAGATGCCTTAGTCCTCTTCCTGTGTAAAAATCAGGCCTTGATCCTCACTCCTAAAGGTGCTACTACTAGGTCTATACACAGTCAGCCTTGTCACCAGACTCAGAAAAACAGGTCTCAGATGTAACTTTTTAATAGTCCTTTAGCTAAAGGACAGTGACTGCTCCCAGCAGCCTCACCTGTGTCTCATGGTAAATAATAGGATAGGAAGAAAGATGTAAAGCTTACATAAGGCCTAAGGACAAAAAACTTAAGTTGTGAGGACCCAAGAAAGTGTTTTAGGGTCTAAGAAGGTGTTTAAAGGTTAATAACTACAAATGAAAGCCTAGATAGTTATAAGAAAGTAATTCATATAAAAAGAATGGAAAATGCTTCAGATTTCTTTCTGTTGCTATGCTACTGTGGTATTAAGATTGTTCAGAGCTTTGACATTAATCACTGGAGCTCTGATTTATTAATCTAACCCTGGTAGAACATTCCGCTATACAATCCACTGTCATAGTCCCAAGCTCAAGATTTTAAAATTTCTTTGGTTCGCTTTTAAATATAGACTTAAAAATGTTTCTTGTTGTGCTAGATTTATATACATCTGGTACTCTGGATAGAGGAAAGAAGCCTCTTTTCATGATGTGTAATCACACTGAAACCAAGATCAAGAGAGCTTTTGCCCCTTCTACTTCATGGAAGGCTTCTTTCTGTCTTCCCTGAGCTCACCTTAAAGATTGTTCATGCTGGGCTGGAGAGATAGCTCAGAGCTTACGAGCATTGGTTGTTCTTCCAAAGGTCCCAAGTTCAATTCCCAGCAACCACATGGTGGCTCACAAACATCTATAATGAGATCTGGTGCCCTCTTCTGGTGTGCAAGAGTCCATTCAGGCAGAGTACTGAGTAAATAAATAAATATATCTTTTTTTTTTTTTAAGAGTGTTCATGTTATTAACTCAGACTAATTCCCCAAGCCTCCACAATGCTTTGACACAAAGATGTGTGTCTGCTGCCTTTTTCTACAATGTGTATTTCACTACAGAGTACAAACAATGGCGATGCTAACACATTTAAAACTTAGCTTCTTTGTAAACTAAAAAGGACTCTTGTAAACTACAGGAAATCCAACCAACTTCACCACTCAGGTCAGATGGACTCCAGATAAGTACTGCCAAATTCCCTACCTTTTGCCTATTTCAGAGGTTGGGGTTCCTCCCCTCCCCCAACTACCAAAACCATGGGTCCAAAAGTTTCTTTCACACATGCACCTAAAGAATTTCCTCCCTAACCTGCTTAACTTTGTCCTCTGACCATATACACACACCAGTATCCTGTCAGGCCCAGGCGTTTCCTGCCTCCACAACAGCGCCGAAACTGGCTACCCTGACAAGCTCTGCAGTCTAACCTTGAAGATTGCGTCAGCCGGGCCTGCACTGTCCTTCCTAGCCGCAGATGTTCTCACAGATCCTGAACCAGCAGTAAAACAACCGGCTCTCCCAAGACCCTGCTGCCCATCACCGCCTGTACCGTGTTATTCCTGTCCATAGTGGTGTCACTTCTAAAAAGCTGCCAAATGGCTCTGCTGTTCTTGAGGCTGTTGGGTGCTTTACTCACTATGTAGTCCTGGCTGGCCTCAAACTCACAGAGATCCTGTCCTGCCCCTGCCTCTCTGCTTTTAATCTTACTCTGTGTCCTGGACATGCAGGGAGGTACTCCACGAGCCAGGCACCTCTCCAGCCTTTGTCATATATATACGAGTGGAGAAAAATGAGTAGCTAATATTTTTGTAGGGCAAATATACTTTTGTCTCCAAATTTATTATTATCCCAAGAGCAATGAGAATCTGGCTATTGAATATACGATCTCAAAAAATACTGTTTTTAAAAGAAAGATTGATGTAATAGCCAGGCACATGCCTTTAATCCCGGCGCTCCAGAGGTATATCTCTTAAGTTTGAGGCCATTCTGGTGCGCAGCATGAATTACAAGGCCACTGGGCTTACAAAATGAGATGCTATGTCAAAAATCAAGACAGAACAAAAAAACTAAAATGCGTAGTAATTGATCAGCTATTTCTGCAGAGGTCCGTTTATACTGTCTACTAGATTTTATCATTCTTGAGTCAGCTGGTGTAAAAACAATATTGACATTAGTTTTATCTCTTTTATTTATGTGTATGTGAGAAGGGCGTGTGTGTGAGTGTGCACATTGACTTCAGGAGACATCAGATCCCCAGAGCTGGAGTTACAGGCACCCTACATGGGCTGGAAACTGAACCTGCTCCTCTGCAAGAACCATACATTCTCTTAACTGAACCCTCTCTCCAGCCCTGACAGTCCTTTTTAGTTGGTGAATGTGGAGGCCTAATCTTTTATGTGTTTGATTTGACTTTATCTTGTTTTCAGTTACTTCAGTACCAAGGATTAAACTTTGGGACCTCACAAATTGGCCAGGCTACCTACCTACATGCCAAGATTTGCTTTTTTTTTTTTTTTTTTTTTAAAAAAAAAAAAAAAACGATGTCTCAGTCAGGCTGCCCAGGCTGACCTTTAAACCCACATAACAACTTATGACTGTCTATAACTCTAGTTCCATGGGTCCGTCTCTAAGGATCTCCAAGGACCTTACATGCATGTGGTACATATGAAGTCACCCAAGCAGGTGCACACACACACACACAAATGTGCGTGTATACACATAAGATAAAATAAGTAAGAGTAGTTACAGGAGCTATTGGGGTAGCTTGGTAGGGGAAGGCAGTAAAGGCATGTGGCCGCCACACCTAACAATTTTTGTAAGTGTTGTTTTTATTTCCTCAGATGAGGGACATTCCCAAGCCTTTCTAGTTCTTTCTGAACTCTTGCCAGCTGGTGACCTCAGCTGTTCGGGCCTAAATTTCTCCCCAAGATGACTAATTCAAACAGGCTTCTCTTGGCTTCTGACTAAATTGCTCTGCCTGGCCTCAAGCGAATTCTGGCAATATGTTTTAATCTTCTGGTTCCTTCTCATTCTGTGGCTCGTTTCGTTTTCACGTGTGTCTAGCTTGTTCTCTCTGTAAAAGTGTCCTAGTAAGAAACTCCTCGTAAAAACTCTCTTTTCTCTTTCCCTGCACTGCTCCTAAGTAGCCTATCTTTGCTGCCCTGTTCTCTAAAGAGTTGGGTGTATCCTAGCTCTGATTCATTCTGTCAAATCTTTCTCTGATTCATTACTTTGTCTGCCCCTCAATTAGACGTCACTTTTTTTGTTGTTGTTTGGGTATTTTTTTGTTTGTTTAGTGTTTTGTTTTTTGAGACAGAGTTTCTCTTTGTAGCCTTGGCTGTTCTGGACTCACAGACCAGGTTGGCCTTGAACTCACAGCTATCCATCTGCCTCTGCCTCCCTTAGTGCTGGGGTTAAAGGCAACCACCACCATCCCTGGTTTAGTTGTCACTTTCAAACATGGCTGCTTTCTTCTATAAACTGTCTTTACCTCCACTGATTGGGATTAAAGAGGTACACTAAGGGCGTGTCTGCAGTCCATCCCAATTATACTGTAATCTAGAGAGAGTCTGCATTCCAACTGGATCACATAGACAAGAAGGTTTTTGGACGTGATCCCTTGCCAGAGCAGACATGTTGCTGGATTAAATTTTCTCTACAAATTTCCTTTTCAAAGTAACCTCAGGTATAACTTTCAAGTATTACAAATAATAATAATTCTGTACAGTAACTATGATTATCATTACTAGTCAATAATACATTGCTTGTTGGTATTTCAGCAGTTGGCATTGTGTTTTTGAGAGAAGATTCCACATAGCCTGGGCTGGTTTTGAATCTCTGATGGTTCTGCCTTTGCTTTCTGAGTGCTAGAATTATAGACATGTATTGCTGTGCCCAGTTTTGTAACATTATGAATGTGATGTTGGTCCCTCAACTTGTGCTTTTCATATCTTTTAGTGTTTAAAATAATTACTTGTTTTGATTATTTTTTAAAAGCACAATCAGTGTCTTCACTGTTAACTATGAACTAGCATGGAGTATGGGTAAAGTGTACCCCACTGTCCGTGCCCCACAAACTGCTCACAGATGCTCAGGTACAACACTAAGCTGCCGGCTTCATGAGCATTAAGGGTGCTCTAACCATGTGCTAGGAATAATTTATGAGGAATACTTCACTCACTCAGCACTCGAAATTCTTTGTTACCAGCATGAGTCAAAGAGCAAACACTTTGTTTTTAATATGTACTTCCCTAGTGGTTTTTCATAGTCCTCAAAAAAGTAAAGATTACTATGTCTAGGTGTTTTGTTTTTTTGTTTTGTTTTGTTTTTTTCAGTCATTTTCAGTCACCAAACATAGCCTTCAAGATTCAGTTTTTTTGGTTTTTGGTTTTGTTTTTCAAAACAGGGTTTCTCTGCATAGCCCTAACTGTCCTTGAATTCATTCTGTGGACCAGACTCTGGCCTCAGACTCACAGAGATCTACCTGCCTCTCCGTCCTGAGTGCTGGGATTAAAGGCGTGCACCATTATTGCCCAGCCAAAGGACAATTTCTTAAAACACATGTTTTGGTAAAGGTTTACTTGTGTGTGTGGAGGTGACGGGAATTGAGTCTGGGTCTTCCAAAAGAGCTGCAAGTACTCTTGATCACTGAGCCATCCGTGCTCCGGGTTGTTAGAATTCTCTGGGCAGCCAAAACCAGCCTCCAACTCAGTTCTTAAAGAAGACACACAAAACCATTGGAAGACAGAAGACTTTGATTTAGCGCTCACATCACTTACAACTGTCTAAAACTGTAACACTTATATTTTCTTAGTAATATTTCCAATCTCTCCCTGAAACATAAACTTCATGACACAGACCACATCACTGAAGTAAAATAGTCTTTCTGCTGTATGTAAACATCACAGCAGCAAACATGTTGTTCAGAACTTGACTAAATTTACATACATCATACATGTAGTACATGAAAGAGTGGGGGGAAAAAGCCTTTTATTAATAAATCCTTTTTTATTGGTCAGGCAGTGGTGGTGCATGCTTTTAGTCCCAGCTCTCTGGAGGCAGAGGCAGGTGGATCTCCCGAGTTAAAGGCCAGCCTGCTCTACAGAGTGAGTTCCAGTACAGCCAGGGCTACACAGAGAAACCCTATCTCAAAAAGACCTAATTAATTAATTAGTTAATTAATATAATCCTTTTTATCATTAAAACATTTTTTAGTGCAATTTTTGTTTTATTTTTTATTTTTATTTTATTTTTAAAGACAGGATTTCCTGTGGTTCTTGAACTTCTGATCTTCCTGCCTCTGCTCCCCAAGTGCTAGGATTCTGAGCGTACACCACGACGTGTAGGCTTAGATTTTCCACCAAACCTACTTTTTATTTAGGTTTCTTAAACACGTCTACCTCCCTTCCAGCCTTGGGTAAGAGATTAGTAGGGAAAGGGGCTGTGGACCTCTTTTATCTCCTTGCTGCTGATTAGGGTAGATGGGTCCTTAGGGGATTACCAAACTCAGTCGTCAGGATACCAGCGGTCCAGTCCAAAGGCCAACACCAAGCAGCAACACGAACCAGCATGATTCAGAAGGCCTGGACAAATCAGCGGAAGCCGCGAGACTCGGTTTGGTTGCACTGAGCAGTTCTTCAGAGTGTGGAAGCATGAAGATCCGGAAAGCGCTGTCTCGCTGTCCGTGGGCGCCTGTGTATCTCCTCTCCTCAAAGTCCACCCACGGATGTTTTCACGCGCCCAGCAAACATCGCATGTCAAAACTGAGTCTTTACGGAAACCGGAAACTTCCACTCTGCCTGACCGTCTGCAGGGCTGGGGATCGAACCCGGGCTTCGGGCGCGCTAGGCCAGCGCTCCACCCACAGGGCTCCGTTCGCGGCGGCCCGGCCCGAGTCCCAGCGCTGTTCTGTGGTCGGCTTGTCCGGGGCCCCGTCCTCAGGCTGAACGCCAAAGACAGCGTGTTACGGTGTTACGTTAACCGCGCTTTGCTCTTTTCCAGGACGTCGTGGCCGGGTTCCTGTACACCATCGTGATCTTGGTCGCCCTCTGCCCGCTGGTGGACCTGATCGACAACTTCAACCAAACTTACAGGTACGCCCCGCTCATCATCATCGGGTTTCACCTGGTGCTGGGCATCCTGTCCTTCACCCTGGACACCTGGAGCACGTCCCGCGGAGACACAGCCGAGATCCTGGGAAGCGGCGCCGGGATTGCCTGTGGCGGCCACGCCGCTCATAACCTGGGTCTGCTGCTGGACCCCCCGCTGCCCACGCTACCCCTGGCCAGCCCCCCGCTCACCGCCGCGCTGGTCGGGAAAGCCGTGTTGCGGGTCGCCATAGGCATGGCGGTTGTGCTGATGGTGAGAGACACCATGAAGAAGGTCACCATCCCGCTAGCCTGTAAACTCTTCAGTATCCCGTGTGAGGACGTCCGCCGGGCGAGGCAGCACATGGAGGTTGAGCTGCCCTACCGGTACATCACCTACGGGATGGTGGGCTTCTCCATCACCTTCTTGGTCCCCTACATATTTTCCTTTGTCGGGATCTCCTGATAGGAGAAATAACGCTTCGATATGAGAGAGGAGGCTGCCAGTTATATCTAAAAAAAAAAAATAAATAAATAAAATAAAATATTCCCTCCGGTCAGAGGGCTTTTTGCGAGAATGTAACTTAGAAAAGTAAATTCTGCAGCCGGTGCATATTTTTTACCGTTGCACGTCCAGAGGTCGTTTTAGGTGGGTCGCGCGCTCTCTCAGCACTGAGAAAGTCAGAATGTTCACAAAAAAAAAAAAAAAGTTGGGAGAGCCCCGCGCTGTTGCAAATTGTAATTGTATGTAATATATATCGAGGTACACAGTGTGCATTCGCATATTAAGGTGCACGAGCGCATCTAGTATATATTATATACGCATTTATTTACCTAAGAACAGTCGGGGTGTATTGACAAAAATCAACAATACACAGCGGCGCCCGCGTTTTCAGGGTTGATGCAGGCACGTTGCTAGTAACCAGTGAGTTTAATGTTTCTTTCCTATGGGAGCCAATTTCCTAGTTGAATTGATAATTACAGACAGTCCACATGCTACCACATATACTGATTTACTGCCTCTCTTTACACTGCCATCCCTTTCATGTTAATCCATAATGTTGAACATGGGAGGCATTTTTAACGGACCAAGTTTCTGGGAAAAATCTGTTTCTTGGGTGTTTTGTTTTTGTTTTTTTTTTTTTTCTTTCTTTCTTTGTTTTTTAAAGTTCTGTACACTGTGTTGAATGTACTTTTTTTTTTCTCCCTCAATTCTTTTAGTCATTAGTTTAATAATTCAGGTACCGAATTTTATTGCTTGCTAACTGTGCCTTTCCTTTGCCGAATTGAGAGACGCCATGTATACTGTGATTTAAAAGTGAGACTCTAATTTTATCTTAAGCCACATAATCAGGCAAATATTTAAAAAATATATATCAAACTAACAGAGTTAGAGGCAAACAACTCATAACTCTTTAGACTTTTTTAAGAAAGAAATGTGGAATAGCTAAATTTTCTCACTAATTTATTGGAAAGCTAGATGGATAAGTATTTCCATTTTTGTAGGTATTTTTCTGTGTGTTGCAAGTTATAGGAACAATATATATCTTATGCACATTGTCTTGATTGTTTATAGTGCAAGTAAATATTTCCAGTGAGTGGAAATGTAACTGAAATTTATAGATGAGACAATGTTTCTACATAAACAAGCCATTTTTTCTAAATTATTTGAAAAGGATGGATTTCCCACTGTTAACTTTCAATACTCCACTCTTTAGCAATCTAAAGTAGATTATAAAACCCAAACATGAAGTATCTGTAGCTTAGATTTTATTATTTTCCCAACTTATTATTTTTACAGTGGAAAATTTGAGTGTAGTATTAAACTATCTTTTTTTCTGTCTGTGCCTTTATATTTTGAAGTGTGATTGTAATTAGGTTAACATTATATTTATTTGTAGTGAGCTTTTCATAAAGAAGAGAATTAACTTTCCATATACATAAACATCAGGTATGGAGTTAACGACTTTAGTGCAATATCTCTGATTATTCAGAAAGTGGATATTTCTATTTTGGACAATATAAGTATTTGAGCTCATATTTTTTATAATTCTGATTGAAAATTTAGGGGCCTGATAGTTTTTACCCAGAGTCTGATCAGCTCTAAGCAAGTCAATTTGGGCCCTTTGGCTACAAGGAGAAGAAAGCTTGGTGCTTAGGGAAAGGTCGGTACGTTAGGAGCTTGGAGCTGTGAAAAGCGCTGCTTTCTCAAAGGGTGTGCTCAGTGAATCGAGCTACAAGAAGGGCTCCCACACTTTGGGTCTGTTATCTTGTTAATTTCTGTGTGTTGCTTGGAAAGAATTTGAAAATATTCTATTTCTTCGTGTCTTATTATTTTTTTGTTTGACAGTTCTATGCTAAATGTATTTCAAAATAAAAGCCAAATCGAAGACTGAAAGGGTCTTTCCTTTGTTTGCCTGGGTTATTTGTCTGTGTTTTTTGTTTTTATTGGGGGGCGGGGGTGTTCAAGACAGGGTTCCTCTTCATAGCCCCGGCTTTCCTGGAACTCACTCTGTAGACCAGGCTGGCATCGAACTCACAAAGATCTGTAGCTGCTCTTCGCTACTTTGTGGGCTTTTCTTTCTCCCAGACTTTATATCCCCCCAATCTCTTTACTCCTCCCCCCAACACTAAGAGGAGAGAAACATGGATAGATGGGAGAGAGGAAATAGGAAAATCCCTGAATCTAATTTCTTTCCTTTTATTTATTCTTTGACCACCCACACCTACTAACAAACTACAGCTGAACAACCAACAACCACTGACCCCACCTCTCAGGGTCACATTTACATACCCTCTGAAAAGTTCCCGGAATTCCAAACATCACACAATCGAAGAAATTACCTGCAGCTATCAAAACCCACGCAGACCGTGGGCTGCTGCTGCAGACAGTCCAAGGTAGCCCCGTGTTCCCACACCGGGGATTAAAACTGGAACACTTTCTAGCCGTGCTTGGTGGCTCACAGCCGGAATCCCAGCACTCGAGAGGCACAGGCAGGCATCTCTGAGTTCAAGGCCAGCCTGGTCTACAAAGTGAGTCCAGGACAACCAAGGCTACACAGAGAGACCCTGTCTCAAACAAACAAACAAACAAACAAACAAAAACAAATACTCTCTTATATTTCTGTGTTTTTTACAGAAACTAAAATTCCACAATTGTCACGACAGAGATCAGCCTGCCTCTGCCTCTCAAGTGCCAGGCTACCCTGAAGAATTTTTTTTTTTTTCGAGACAGTTTCTCTGTGTAGCCTTGGCCATCTTGGACATACGTTGTCCAGGCTGGCATCACACTTAGAGAGATCTGCCTGCTTCTGTCTTCCAGAGTATTAGCATTATAGGCAGGTGCCATCACGCCTGTCAGAAATTCTTAAAACGTCAAAATTCCCCTTAAATTTATGAGTCATTAAGTTCTTGGGGCAGGGTCTCAGGTGTCTCGGGCTGGCCTTGAATTCCTGTTCTTCCTGTCTATTTCCCAAGCCACAGTCGCCGCCAGCACACCTCACTTTGCTCCAGGTTACTAAGCCTGCTGGAACTCTACAAATCTTAGGAGGAAACATGGCTTCCACAAGAAAATGCACAGGAAAAAAATTCAAGGGAAAAATAAAAGACAGTCAACACGTTTAAGGAAGTAAACATTAATTTCATAGCCTCAAATAAGACAGTTCAACCTCAGGCCAGGCTTGGTGGCCCACGCCTAAGATCTCAGCACTCAGGGAGGCAGAGACAGGCAGATCTCTGAGTTTGAGGACAGCCTGGTCTACAAAAGGGAGTCTAGGACAGCCAAGGCTATAGGAAAAGGAAAAAAAAAAAAAGAATCACTCTCTTTTGGCCTTTTCCTGCTGCCTCCAAATGCAGAATTCTGCATCCAATGGCAGGGCACCCTGCTGAGAGCAGGGTCACATGTCCTGTGTTGTGACCTCACAGTCTTCTGCAGAGCCTCTGTAGATTACCATTCGCATGAAGAACCACGGCTGTTTCGCTCACCATTTCAATCTTGGTACGTTTTGTGCACGTGTTTCAAAAGCCCAACCCTGATTACAGCAAGGGATAAACACGACAGAATCTTTTCCTTTGTTAAGGTACCCTTTCAGTTTTCATTACGAAAATGATTTTAAGTCATTTTATAGCTTTGGCATTCTGTCTTATTTATTTTGAGATAGGGTCTCTCAGCCCTGGAAGTCTTGGAACTCACTCTGTAGACCAGGCTGGCCTGAACTCAACAGATCCACCTGCCTCTGCCTCTGCCTCTGCCTCTTCCGCCTCCTTGGTGCTGAGATTAAAGGTATTCACCAGCATGCTCTACCATTTGACTTGTTTGTTTAACGTATAGTGGTGATTTGTGCACTTATGTGTACCTAGTATCTGTGTAAGGCCAGAAGACAGTGTCAGATACCCTGCAGAAGTTGCAAGTGGTTTTGAGCGGCTGTGGGGGTGCTGGGAATTGAATTCAGGTCTCCTACAAGAGCAGCAAGAGCTCTTAACTACTGAGCCATCCATCATTCTAGCCAAAATTTATCAATTACTTTTAAATTTTAATATATTCCTGAGATGATTGTGATCACCCTTGCCTATAATCCCAGCAACCAGGGAGTGGAGGCAGGAGAATCAGGAACTTAAGTTCTTGAGTGCATAACTTACTGGAAAGCCAGCCTTGGGCAGCATAAAACCTCATCTCAAAACACGAAAGGTAGAGCCAGGTAAAAATGTTAGTGGAAGACCATTTGTCTAGCATGAATGAGGCTCCAGGGTTCAATCCCAATATTGCAAAAATGAACCAAAAATAAACAGTTCATAATCTGAGATGTCTGTTCCATGTGGGGAAAAATAGTACTTGTTCACCTATTGATTTCTGCCTTCACTGGGACACAGCAGATGTTTAATAGATATACTGTGTTCAATAGATTGAACAAGCTTTAGTAAGTGTGGTGTGTGTGTGTGGCAATTGGGGGTCATTTGTAGCATTCTGCAGATTCTCAAAAATTTGATAAAAGTTTAAAATTGCTTCTTAGCTTTTTTCTTCTTTGTCTTGTCTTTCTTGTTTATTTTTTTGAGGCAGGGTTTCTCTGTGTAGCCCTGGCTCTCCTGGAACTCACTCTTATAGACCAGGCTAGCCTGGAACTCAGAGATTCTCCTGCCTCTGCCTCCTCAGTTCTGGAGTTACAGGTGTGCACCACAGGCCTGGCTAAACATACAGTGTTTACAAGTGATGTATTTTTCTAAAATTTACTTTAACTTTCTTGAGGTGCTATGCAGTTACACAGTGACGAAGCATTTTAGGGATTTTGGAATCTTAGAGCAGCTTATAAAATCTTTAGAGTATTAGCACGTAACCATGTGTAATATCTTTGTTTGTTTATTCCTGGAGACATGATCTGCATGTGGCTAGGATGGTCTGAAACTCTGTAGTTCAGGCAGACCTTGAACGCAATTGCTCCTGTCTCTAAAGCGCTGGGATTGCAGGCAAGGTGTTCATCATCACACTGGGCCGGGCCTAGAATGCCGATGTTAGAAAGTGCTCAGTCAAGCCAATTTAGCTCTTGGATGAAATCACACTAACATGAAGGCAATGACAACTATTTTTATATCTGTAATAAAAAACACACAAGTATTACTAAGGTAATTTTTCGTATTAATGTCGGATCTTGGTGTCATATCGTGGCTGCTGTGACTGCAGTGATTTAAAAAAGGAGCGCCGTGGAGCGAGGGGAAGCTTGACTCCACAGCCTTTCAAGGGGTCCTAGAGCTTCCGGTAGCAACTCAAAGACACACCCACGGCCCTACCCAGAGAGGGTGAGGAATTGCTGTCACGGGGTTAAGGATCTTTGCAGATCAGCTACAGAGGTCCTTGTGCGCTGCAAAGAAGGCTGCTGGGATTTGCAGGCATGCCCTGAGAAGGAAGTTACAGTTTATTTCTTACGCTGCTACACTTAAAAGACCAGGGACTTCCTCCATACGGGCTCTTCTGAACTCCTGGAGACACGAAGATTCTGCTATCGGGTTAGAGGGGTGTTTGCTGACTGAAGCTCAGACACTATGAACGTTGTTTCTGTGTTCGAAATGATCCACAACAACACACAATTTTTACTTGAACTTTCTTTCTTTCTTTATTATTTATTTAAGTGGGGAGGTGGGCATGTGGGGTTCAAAGGGCAACTTGAGGAAATCAGTTTTCACCATGGAGGTCCTGGTTACCCCGTCTCTCAGCAAGCACCTTTGCCCACTCTACCAGCTCACTGGTTTGCTTTTGTTTCTTTTCAATGTTTCCAAGAAGACGCTTAACTTCATGAGGTTTTCCATCATCTAGAAAAGACGCCATGGCCGCATTGTCATGCATCGGTCATATAACTGAACCACAGCGTTGTTAATCATTGAAGACCTGCAAATGCAGGTATTCTCTACACAGCCCAACCAGTTCCAGGGCATCTGGTGCCAAATTTGTGCCTCTTTTGGCACCGGGGGCATGTGTGGTGTACATACATATCCATGCAGGCATCACTTGCATGTATGAAAAAGTAAAATAAAACAACAACAACAACAAAACTTCTGGGCATGGCATTGCATACCATTAATCCATCACTCAGGATACAGAGCCCCATAGATCTTTGAGTTTGAGGCCAGCTTGGCCTACACAGATAGTTCCAGGACAGCCAGGGCTACACAGAAAAGCCCTGTCTCAATAAAACAAAAGAGAGAAAGAAAGAAAGAAGGAAGGAAAGGAAGAAAGAAAGAAAAAAAGAAAAGAACATCCTACAATATAATTAAAACATACATGGCAAATGATTGGGGCTGGAGAAATGGCTCAGCAGTTAGGGGCACTCACTGCTCTTGCAGAGGACCTGGGTTCAGTTCCCGGCACCCACATGGTAGTTAGCATCCATCCATAACTTCTATTCCAGGATGTTCAATGCCTTCTGACCTCCCTAGGCACCAGGCATTCATGTGGTGAAGATACCTACATGTAGGCAAAAACACTGAAAAAAATAAAATAAAATCTAAACAATGAAAAGATCTGTGAGAATTGAAATGTAACCTGGGTATTTTAAAAACAGTATTTAGAAAGATTTCCTATAATATCCAATATTGTGACATAATGCCCTTACCCTTAAAAAAAAAAACAAACAAACAAACACCAAAAACCCCAAAACAACAAAAAAGCACCAAAATAACATGTCCCAAGTAAACAAAATTAAAGGGCTGTTGTTTCCATATCTTGTTATTTAATGCTATTTGGCAAAATGAAGACTTTTTTTTTTTAAATATGTAGAATTATGTGAGGATGGAAAGATGGCTCAGAAGTTAAGAGTTTCTGGCTGTAATTCCAAAAGACCAGGGTTCAATTCACAGGATGGTGACTGACAACCATCTGTTGCTCCAATTGCAGGAGGGCTAACTGTCAGTTTAATGAGTTAAATTTCTTTTAAATCAGGCTGAACCAACATAGGGCTGGAGAGATGGCTCAGTGGCTAAGGGCTTTTCAGGAGGGCCCAGGTGTGGGTCCCACAAGGTGGCTCACAGCTCCAGTTCAGGATATCTGATGACTCCTTCTGTTCTTCCCCTGTGGTCCACATCGATGGGCAAAACACTCAGACACACAAAATAAGTAAATCTAGCTGGGTGTGCTGACACACACCTGTAACCCCAGTGCTTGGGAGGCAGAGGCAGGTGGATCTCTGTGCATTTGTGGCCAGCCTGGTCTACAGAGTTTCAGGACAGCCAGAGATACATAATAGAGACCCTGTCTCAAAAAAAAAAAAAAAAAAAAAAACAAATAAAATATCTTTAATTTTTTTTTTTATAATAAAAAACTGAAACCGGAACTATTACGATGGCTCCGTGGGTACAGGTGCTTACTGTGCAATGCCAGTGACTTGAGTCCCACACGAAGGTGGAAGGAAAGAACTGACTCTGCAAAGTTGCCTTCCGGCGTCCACATGTGAGCCGCCTAAAAATAATATATATACAAGAGAAGTTTTTAAAATTAATGATTTGTTCACTTTGCATCCCGATTGTAGCCCCTTCCCTCCTCTCCTCCTGGCCCCACCCTCCTCCTTTTCCTTCTTATTTCCCTTCCCCTACTCCTCAGAAAAGGAGAGCCCCCCCCCCCCCCCCATATAAAGTTGCATCAGGACTGATCAAATTCTCTTCCTCTGTGGCCTGGTGAGGCAGCCTTGCCAGGGAGAAGTGATCAAATAGCAGGCAAAAGAGTCCATGTCAGAGACGCTCCCCCCCCGCCCCCCGCGCTCACCTTACTAGGAAACCCACATGAAGCCAGAGCTGCCTATCAGCTACATCTGTGTAGGGGGCCTAGGTCCAGTCCATGCATAGTCCTTGGCTGATGCTTCAATCTCTGAAAGCCCCTCTGGGCCCTGGTTAGTTGGCTCTTTTGGTCTTCATATGAAGTTCCGGGCACCTCCAGGTCCAAGGTCTTTTTGTTTGTTTGTTTGTTTGTTTTTCATTATTGGACTTGAAATATTTGACTTTAGAAGAGTTTTTGGGCCTAAGGGAGGATGTTCATTTCTAGTGCAGAATGAAAGCATGCTGATTAATAAACCAACACTGTAAAGTTACAGTTCTGTTATGCTATTGCATTTAAGGCTCAAACAGAATCTCACCTGCTCAAGGGCTATGCAGGGGTGAAGGCTGTCTGTCCCGTTCTGAAATAAGTCAATAACAGGAGGATGACTCGTTAATGGTTAACTCCCAGGTCAAATGTTAACAGCCTTAAGTATTCTTTCCAGCTTGGAAATTAACCTCTGCTTCCAGGCTTCAGTTCTTCCTGCTCAAGGAGCACAAGCAATACTGTGATGGCACCTTCCCATTATAAGTACCAGCATGTGGTTGGGAATATCCATGGGGCATTAACCAGCATCTTTTGCCATTTTCCAAGCTGCTGCTATTATTATTATTTTTTTTTTTTTCAAGACAGGGTTTCTCTGTGTATCCCTGGCTGTTCTGGAATTCGGCCTGTAGACCAGGCTGTCCTCAAACTCAAAGATCCACCTGTCGCTGCCTCCTGAGTGCTGGGATTAAAGGCGTAAGCCACCATTGCTCTGCTCCAAGCTCTCATTAAATAAATATTCCTCCAACAAGTACCCAATGGAAACTTTTTTGATCGATGCTGGCAAGCCTTAAAAAGACCCCATGCTATTTCCGTAGATGGTATTTTTAGACTAAGAATCTCAGTCTTATAAAGAGTGTTCTTGACAGAATGAAAAGTACATTTACAATTTGAAAAGCAGTGCTGTGTGCAAGTAGAGAAGAATTGTTAAAAAAAAAAAAAAAAGAAAAGAAAGAAAGAAAGAAAAAAGAAAAAGAAAAAAACTTCTGGAAGCCAGGTATCATGGCATGGTCTCCCAACATTGAGGTGCTTGAGGTAGAGGCTTGCCATAAATCTGAGGCAATTTGGGCTATATAGCATGAGATCCATGCAGCATATAATTAACAAAGGAACAGTTTTTCTTTAACCTGGCTAACTCCCAAAATAATAGACACAGAGAGACTATGCTTTATTTTATAAGAGAGCTAGGCAGGTATCAAACCTCTAAGCTATTTGTCTGTCTCCTAGCTACACACCTCAAAGTAACTTGCCAATATGTTGCCCTATCTGGGATAGATCTAATCCACCAGGTCATGTCCTCTTTCTCCATCTTCTTCCTTCCTTCCCTCTTTCTCCTTGGCCTCTTCTCTGACCCAAAGCCAGGGCACCTAAAGTCCACTAACTCTCTTCTGCCCAGTTCAGGCTGCAGCAACTTAATTAGCCAATCAGGGATAATTGGGGAGCAAAGTTACACAACATCACTTGGTGTACATGAGAATGTGCTCATTTGGGTTGTAACCAGATCTTGGGGGACCAGTAATTAACAAATACATTAGGAAGCTAGGTGTGCTGGCACACGCCTTTCATCCCAGTACTCAGGGAAACATCTCTGTGACTTCTAGGCCAGCCTGGTCTAAAAATCTAGTCCAGGACAGCCAAGGCTACACAAAGAAACCCTGTCACAAACAACCAACCAACCAAACAAAACAAATAGGTCATCAGCACCAGACTAACCCCCAGCAGTCCCAGGTAAACAGTAAGATCCTGTCTCAGAAAACAAGAACAATCCGTTAGAGAGAAAACCTGTTTTCCTCATTCACCATCAACACTGATTGGATAGTATTAACCTTTCTCGTTTCTTTTCACTTTAAATAAAAATGCCTCAGGCTAAAAAATTATTTCATTGTCAAAATGTTTTGCTTTGCTTTGCTTTGCATGTCTATGTTTACAATGACTTTTTAAACTCTACTTCAAATATTTTGCATGTATGTGCATGCACTTGTGTGTATATCTCAACCAATATTAGGTCTTCCTCATCACTTTCTACACACACACACACACACACACACACACACACACACACACACATAATTTATTTACTTATTTATCTATTTTCGGCTTTTCAAGACAGGGTTTCTCTGTGTAGCCCTGGCTGTCCTGGACTCACTTTGTTGACTAGGCTGGCCTCAAACTCACAGAGATCCGCCTCCCTCTGCCTCCCTAAGTGCTAGAATTACAGGTGTGTGCCACCAAATCTGGCTCTGAGACAAGGCCTTTTTATGTAGCTTTGGTTGTCCTGGAACATTGCTAAGTAGAGCAAGCCAGCCTTGAACTCACAGAGATCCGCCTGCCTCTGCCTCTTGAGTGCTGGGATTTGTATAAAGTGGGGTTTTCAGCACCAGAGGTATGGAGTGAGGACACGATGGCTCCAAGGTACGGTTGAGAAGAAAGGTTTTATTGTAGATATGATGAAGAATACAGCCAGGGGCATCTGGAAAAGTCCAAAGCAGGGCGAGAAGGAAGTAGACTAAATATAGTTAGTAGATGGAGCCAGGCCGTGAGAGGAGGGGGAGGCAGGAGGGGAAGAGAAGAGAGAGGGAGCAAAGGAGATAGAGAGAGAGGACCAAGAGAACAAAGAGGATCAAGAGCCAAGAGAACCAAGAGGGAACATGGCTGACATGACAGGGTTATATAGGAATGAGAAGATGGGGGAAGGAAGCCCATGGAAAGGGGAAGTTCAGGATACATGGCAGCGTGTGAGGAGCTGAGCCAAGCCAGGGTGCCAGCCTGGATTCTGTAACGGGTTCTTGCCTGGAGGCCAGCATACTCTTTGGCACAGTAATAGACACCACAGTTAGCCATCTGTTCAGAGTTTCTGTTGACCTGACAGGATTAAAGGCATGCACCAGGGCCCACATTAATTTCGAACTGGGTCTTTTTGATTTACAGGGAATGTAATGAGTTCTATGTATTAAAATTATGCACATCTGTCTTTACGATTTTCTTTTTCTGAAGAAACTTGTTCTGTGTATTTTTCTCCATTTGTCAGTGAGATAGCAATGTCTGTCTTGCCTGGCCTAGGGGCATATGCTTGTAATCTCAGCACTAGAGCGGTGGAATCAAAACAGACTGCAAGTTTGGGACCAGCCTGGGCTACACAGCAAGTCTATTTTAAAAAACAACAAAACAGAGTAAGTGTAGCACATGGACTCATGCCTGTAATCCTGGCAGGAAGTTGGTTTTATATCTAAGCCCATCAGAATCCATGGTGGTTACAAGACTACACTGTAATGCCTGGTCTCAAGGGCAAGCAGGGCCTGGTCTTGATGGAGCACGCCTTTCCTCCCAGCACTGGGGAGGCAGGTGCAGGTGGATCTCGCTGTGAGTTCTAGGCTAGCCTGATCTGCATAGAGGATGCCAGGACAGCCAGGGCTACAGAGTGAGACCCTGCCTCAACAAACAAACTAAACCCTTATAACACAGCAGAATAGTCGTGTCTATCAAAAAATGTTCATCTTTCTGGAATTATCTTTTATTGTTTCTGAGGCAGGGCTGGTCATGATCTTGTCGTCTTCTTGCCTCTGCCTTTCAGGTGCTGGGTTGAGAGGCATAAGCTGCTGTGCTTGATTGCATCTCTGTGGGGTAGACTTGGCCTGTGACCGGCTATGGCTCCTACGTGGCCCATCTCTATAGTTAGAAAGGATGATGGAGTCTAATTACCTTATAATTGGTTTGTAAATGTTTTGCTCTCACTAAAAATGTTAGTATTTATTATTGTTGTTGTTGTTATTGTTATTTATTTAACATTGTAGTGTGACAGCTCATATGTAAAGCTACTTGAAGGTCTGGCTTTGTTTTAATTAATTTGTTCTGTACTTTTATATGTGTGTGTAGGTCCGAGGACAATCGGCAGGACTCAGTTCTTTCTTGCTACCCGCCATCTGGGTGCCAGGGATTGAACACAAGTCCAGCAGCAGATATCGCTACCTGCTGAACCATCTCACTGTCCCTCACAGTCTGGCTTTATATTCAGTTTAATTCTTGATTTCCATGTCTACCTCAGACAAAAAGAAGAAGAAGAAGAAGAAAAAAAAATCCTTTCTCAAAAAGGCACAGAGCTGGGCATGGTGGTGATCTGGAATGTAGGAGGCAGAGGCAGAAGGGCACAAGTTGGAATCCAGACTGTGTTATGTTTTGAGACTTTGTCTCATAATAAATATTTTTAAAATTTATTTCTTTATAGAGCTGGAGAGATGGCTCAGGGATTTAAAGCCCTGGTTGCTCCTACAGAGGACTCAGGTTTGATCCCCAGCACCCAAATGGAAGCTCACAACCATCTATACCCCACTTCCAAGGGACCCAGTGCCCTGGTCTGACCTCTCAAGGCACCAAGCATAAATGTGATGCATACATGCAGGCAAAAAACTCACGGATGAAATAAACTAATCTAATAATGAAAAAAATCGATGTAAGCCTTCACTTGGAAAATTCTCTAGGAAGTTCCACAAATTAGGTTCTAAATGTCAGTGCGCTTGAATTGTTTAATGGGACACAGCTCTTTCAGCAGTAAAATCAGAGAACCGTGGAAATATTTTTGTTGTGCTTCATTTTGATGAGCAATTATCGTTCCATTCATTGCTAAAAGATCACCGTTACCTTGGAAGAAACAGTTTCTATGCTTTTCTATTCCCCAAATAGTATCTGTCAATACTGCATATGACAGAGTCACTTGCTAGGTCTGGAACAGCCAGTGCCAACTGAAGTATGAAGCACCTTTTCTAAAAGGAGATTGCATAATGTATCCACGTTGACAGATTTTCAAGTATGTTAATACAACATGCCAGTAACCTCTCTGTTTCATACAATTTAGTCTGACTTTAAGATCACATTAAAAAGAAATACTGCAAGCTGGGCACTGTGGCACACGCCTGTAATCCCAGCACTTAGGGAAGCAGAGGCAGGTGGATCTCTGTGAGTTTGAGGCCAGCCTGGTCTACAATGTGAGTCCAGGACAACCAAGGCTACACAGAGAACCCTTGTCTCAAAAAGACCAAAATAAAACACAAAAACAAACAAACAAAAACCTGCAAAATAGCCAGTTGTGGGGTGGTTCAAGCCTAAATTTAATCCCAGCACTCAGGAAGCAGAGGCAAGCAAATCTCTGTGAGGCCTCCCTGGTCTACACAGTGAATTGTAGGCCATTCCAGGCTGCATACTCATAGTGAGTACTACGAGATAGCTCTGCCAATTTTTTTTTAAGTATTATTTTCATTAAAATAAGAAACCCGTGGGCTGGAGAGATGACCCAGACAGTAAGAGCACTGGCTGTTCTTCCGG